GTCAGGACAGAGTCTATATTACACATCTTCAACCTGCCCTTACATCCAGTCCTAAAATCTGACACATGGCAGTGGCGCCACCTGCTGAACAAAAAGTATAAATGTTCCCAAATCATTTCAGGCACCTACCAAGTCATCGGGGGAGTCAGCGTGTAATCCCCCCACTTGGATGAAGCTTCCTTCACTGGCAAAGTGCAGGTGTAGATGTTCGGGAATCGCAGACCTGGCGATCCTGTTGGGCTGGTGAGAATTGACCAGGAACTCGTTGTTTAGATCCAGAAGCTTCACATGAAGAGCCACCGCCTCCTTCCTCTGTGGAGAAAACAAGTTCAGTAAACACAGCAGGGGGTGGAGGTATTTTTAAACATGCTGTCTTTATGTTTTATTCACAACTTGTCTGTTTCTTTCCCAGATGAACAACCAAAATGTACCTGCTGGCTACCACATCAAAATACATGCGCTGTCCCATGGAAAATATCCTTCTATGACTACACCAATGCTATATGGTCTAGTATGGTGTAACTGTGGACAAACAGTGGTTTTGGTTATGTAATCTTTTGTTACTTCCCTTTCCCCCTAGGAAACATAACAACCACCTATTATAACCATCTCACCAGCTTCTCATCCAGATGAATTCCACTGATTTCAAAATCGAACATGAACAACTCTGCCACTCGTCTGGAAAAAACAAACAGAAATGAATCATTATTTACATGATTAGATATGATATAAACATTACATATTGATGTGATAATAAAGAAAGAGAAACACTGTTATTTAATCCATGTTTTAAACAAAATGGCAGTGAAATTACCTGGAATCAGGATCCAGCTGAGACACGGTGTCTGGGTTCTCCAGCAATTTTTTAAGACTATTAGAAAGCTCCACATTAGTGTTCAGTCTGAAAAAAACACAATTACAAAATGACATGTGTGTGCTATTTTTGAGTATTTCTATTTTATGCTACTTTATACTTCCATTTATTTGTACAAATGCATCATGATTGCTTTTTGAAAGGTTCGTCTTACTTCTCCACCACCGTGCCGATCTCTATGCAGCTCTTCTCTGCAGCCTCGCGAAACGCTGGGTCTGGATGAGCTACTTTAACAAAGTCTGCCTGTGAGAGAAGAGAAAAGCAAGTTGGTCTGCAGGTAATCCAAGAACCACATGACACATAGTGATAGTATAAAGGAATCATAAAAGCTTTTTTAAAGCATGTAGAGGCTAAACCAACCCTTTAAAAGGGGCCCTATTATGCTTTTGGGGGTTTTCCTTTACTGTAGTGTAATATAGGTTTTTGTGCATGGAAATGGAAATGGTCTGTAAAGGTTAAAATCCCTCTGTTCCCTCTTGAGGGAGAAATTAACTTAAATGCCATAAATAAAAACACTGACAAGTAATATTTACAAAGCAGGGTTTTCAAAGACAATTCCAAGAGGAGATATGGTTGCAGCGCTGATCTTATCTGGCAGGTATTTCCAAAGTCCAGGAGCCCTGACTCCAAAGGCTCTCCTATCTCCTTTAAGTACACATTTGGACCTTGGAACAACGAGGAGGGAAGAAAGGAACATGGGGCATAGAGCGGGCCAGGAATGAGTCCTAAAACCCAGATATGAGTCAGCATTTTAGCACTTCCTGTTCCCTCGTCTGGAAGTCAATGGTTTCCTGAATGTGCTTTTGGTTGTTAGCCTGACATAAGGTCTGTGGTTAAAACCAGCTGAAGAAATGTTACTTTTTTTTTATGCAACATAAAATACGTCAGTAAATAACAAGTGTCTAAATCAGAGGACTAAACATCATCATGCCCAACATTAGCCGCCTTTAGCTTAGCGGTGGTGACGGGAAGTCATGTTAGGGTGCTGTAGTTCCTTTATAGTCTAACGTTAGCTTATTACTTAAAAAATCATAAAGTGGTGTATATATTCTGCTGAATAAAACGTGTAAATATCATAAACGTTTGAGATTATTTTCTGCAATAATACGAAGAAATCCCATTGGCTTTTTTTTAAGTGAGCCAGGGAGATGCTGACTTCCGGGTCAACCTACAAAAAAACGTCATCACTGCAACCCCTCTGTACACGAGTTGTGGAGAGCAGCACAGTTTCAGTAGTCATCAGAGAGAAGGAGCACTCACCAGATCAGCCACTTTACACAACTCATCTGAGAGCTGATCAAAAGACTCGACTGTCCCAACCCCCGAAGGACCAGAAATAACTTTGTCCACCAGCCGCTGTGTGTTCCTCAGAGCCGTCTCTGTGGCCGCCTGAAAGCCTGCAGGACAGCTGAGCTCAGTCACTCCAAACAAACCCTGAAAGCAGAACCAGAAATCCTTTATCTGTCCCACAGCAAGACATTTACAGTGTTACAGCAGCAAAGGGAAACATCAAAATCACTAGACTAACATGTTTAATAAAGAAATCAAATAAAATGAGTACACAACCATGGTAAATAAATAAGTGGCAGTATTATAAAAGTAAGTGAACTAGCAGCCACCAATAACAATAATAAATAGTTACATGAATGTCATGAGTCATGACATTTGTTTTACTTAAGATGCATGCATTTTTCACTTGATAGTATGCAAAACAATCAGTTTAAAATGTAATATTACATTCTTTAAAATGGCTCATTCCCCCCCAATATACCCCCAAATATAAACAACAATTTAGTAAATCAATAATGCAGCTTCTTAGAAATAAAAGATATAGAATGTGGTCCTTTATAAAAATCAATATGGCTTATTAACACACATTTAAGCCCATTTAAATGCAGGTTATGTGCTTTAACATAGCAGTGTTGTAACATGTTTTAGTGACACATTTAAGACAATTAAAACAAATACTTACCACGTTTTTCTCCACCAGATTTTGTCTTCTTTGAGGTTTGGCATTGAAAGCAGCTCCAACAGGAGACCATGTTGTGACATTTCTCCGAACATGAGTCCACAAGCTTCTGTGCTTCACAAAGTAAAGCAACCTTGTGCAGGAAGACATGATGTTCTGAAGCTGCAGCTCTTCTGATGTTCTGAAGCTTTACTGAAGCCTGTAGTGTTGACAGTGGCTGACAGAGGACATGCTAACTTTAGCTTCAATGTTAGCTTTTTTTGCAGAAGCAGGATATGTTAAAAAGGAAAACAAAAAACGTATTAACGTCCGTTTATTCTAAACCTTTCTCTTCATTAAATGCTAGCTGTTTTATTGTCATGAGTTAAGAGGTGTAGCTGTCAAGTCAACAGAAGCAGCTACTCACATGTTAGCTCCTTGGCTATCTATCAACGTAAATCTAAATGACGGTGACAGGTGTTACTTTCGCGTAAAAACTAAAATGTATAAACATTTAATAACAAATACAAATTAACATGTAAATGTGACACATGTTTCGCACTAGTGATTTATTATCCCAGTGTTACCAAATTAAATAAAAGAACATTGCTAATCAAAAGGGTCGAAAGTGCGACCAGTTTAAGAAAAACATTACGTGATGTCGTCACGCTGTTGTCAGAAGAAGCCCTTTCACGTTAAAACCTTGTTAATGTCGACCAATAAGATAAAAATCGTTAAAGCCCATAACGTTGACTTTTTAATTAGAATTTCCGATAAATAATTGGATATTTTTCCATAAATGCAAACAACTAAAGGGTAAGCCAAAATTACTACATAGTGAGATCTTAATACTTTTAAAATCACGTTATTACATGAAAAATAAAAAAGCCCTGAAACCCCTTTTCATTATTTGACGTATGTGTTACTTGAAAAGACCCTCACTCTTTAGTTAATGAAATCATTTGTTTGTAGTTTTGTTTATATTTGATGCAAGCCGTTAACATGATGAATTGGAAATGGGGGACCCTGATGTAAACAAGACGAAAGTCTTTCTCTGGTCTGCATCCCCTTAACAATTGTATGTTTTGAGCTGTACTGTTCTGTACCCAATATACAAGCTGTTAATAAACTTTTCAATCAATCAATCAATCAAACAATCTGTATCTGTAATATATTAAAACAATTTAAAGTATTTGTCTTGACCCTGGAAAGTTTGAGTGAAACTTGGAAAATAAAGTAAAAAACAAAAACACATCTTTACCTGAGTATTTACATGCTGTTGAAAATGATATTTAACTATACCAGAAAACAGAGCAAGTGTGTGGGAGAGAAACTCCATCTGAAGGGAACAAAGGGATTTTAGCCTTTGCAGACCATTTACATGCACAAGAACCTATCACACTACAGGAGAAGGAAACCCCCAAAAATATTGTAAATATTGTAGCCTACATATTCCCCCACATTTCTTTTTGGTGTCAATATACGCCGGGATCCTGAGTCGTGGCTGATCCTGTTGCTGTGGTCCTGAGTCCTGCATCCTGAGTCCTGGATTTCGAGTCGTGGCTGAACCCGTCTCTGCGGTCCTGCCTGACTCATCATACTACTTCCCTGATGGCTCCCACAGGATTGTTGACATCCTTGTGGATTCATCTTCTTATTATAAAACACATGCATTTCCAAACATTTGGTCTACCTATGTTGTAAATGCATTATCTATTCAATTTACACACAGCATCTATTGCACGTCTGTCCGTCCTGGGAGAGGGATCCCTCCTCTGTTGCTCTCCCTGAGGTTTCTCCCATGTTCCCCTTTAAACTGTGGGGTTTCTCTGGAAGTTTTTCCTTGTACGATATGAGGGTCCAAGGACAGAGGGTGTCGTATTGTCATACTGATATTCTGTACAAACTGTGAAGTCCACTGAGACAAATGTAACATTTGTGATATTGGTCTATATAAATAAACATTGATCGATTGATATTGTGAACTAGACACTTAGTGTAGGGATATATCTCCAAACTATTCATTTGAATCTAAGAACAAAATCCTTGGGGGCAGAAATATCTTTGTATATAAGGTGTCAAATGTATTACCTCCCTACAAGCCAGGATACAAAGCACATCTGTTAGTTCATTTCTTCCTGTACCTGCAACAAATGTAACAAAGTCAGAAACATAACACACCTTGAAATGATGTCTTTATTATTGTGAGGAATAACTCATCCATTGCACTCCACAACCACATCGCGATAATAGTTTTCCTGTGATTTAATAAAGGTGTAGTACGAAAAACATTAAGCAAAATGTCATAAAGCGACTTTATTTAGAAACCTTCCCGTTAACAAAATTAAACCATGTGACTGGCAAAATGTTTTTAAGTCAACTCTGAAAAAAAGAATTTAACACTGAAAGTAGGTAACACAGAACAATAACGGGCCTTCCCAATATGAGAAATCACAGTATTTTGCAAAGAGTACTTTTGTACTTGGCAAAAAAGTACCAATTTGTGACATATGGCAAGACAATGCAGTTAATTGTAAAAAAAAGATAAAGAGAAGAAATTAAAAAAACAAATTAAATAAACATTTTGTTACCGACTGAACCTCAGACGTCTTCCTCAATCAAATATTTACATCTATTCACTAGAACACAAACTAACTTACAGAAAAAAAAACTAATGCAATGGGGGAAAGAATATTTAGATCATTTTGGCTCATAACTCAAAATACAGACGAGCATTGAGTGTGTGGATTTACAAAGGAGTGCTGTAGTCAAACGTCTGAGCATGGATTCTCTTTTCTTTTTTGTCCCAGTGAGTGTGCTTGGACATCTGGAGTTGTATTCTGTTGCGCAGAAAACAACCGCATGTCTGAGACTACAGTAAACGTATTTGACCCCTGAGTTTCTAATGCAAAACTAGTGTATGAAATACCTCATTACAGTGTATCTTAGTGCAAGCCAGCAATATGCTTGATTAAACGAGAGGTATATAAGAGTAGCACCCACGCGGACAAAATAATCCCCCAGAACGGTTTTCCCTGCCGGCGGAATCGCAACGAGCAGAATGGGGCGGTGGAGTTTTCGCTTTGAGAAAAAAAGACCCAGCAGTTCAAATGCTTGAATTCGTATTACATCTATAAACATGTTTTTCATAGAAAATATAAATATCCCTGAATGAAACAGATTCACAGCATTTTCTCTCGAGGACTCCAGTGCTACTACCGTATCGTGTCTTTATTTAAAGGTCTCCAGCTCTCTTCCCGTCCTTCATTCGCTGTCGTGATAGCTCACCGTCCGCTTCCCTCGGTTGCGGGTGTTCACGCATGCTTTTTGCTGTGTTTTGCGGCGCGTCTCGTCGCTGTCCTCTGAGGCGGACGCACGGCGGCGCGGCCTCAGCGGGCGGCCGGACGTCTTCTCAGCGACGCCCGACCGCCTGTGACTCCTCCTCTTTGGACTGCTGCGAAACCCTGAGCTGGCAGATGAGTTTTCGGCGGCTGAAGACGAGTCGGAGCTGCGAGTGCCATCTTTTAGTTTTAGTTTTGGCTGCCTGGCGTTTTTCTTCCTGCTCCCAACATCCTCCTCTTCCTCCTCCTTGCTGGATTCAGAATGTGACGAGGTGTCCCCCTCTCCTTTGGACTCCCCTTTGGAACGTTTCGAGGACCTGCTGTTTTTATCGCTCTTTGACACCGGCTTGTCTTCTCCGTCCTCCTCAGCATCTTCAGAGTCTGAGGTGTAAATGCGTTTTTTGCTGGAAGACGTCCGACTCCTGGCTCCGTTGGGAGAGCTCCTGTTCGACTCTCGCTTGCCTTCCCTGGACGCCGTCTTTTTACCGCTCCCCTGTTTTGCGCCTGAAGCAGAGTCTTCCTCCGAGTTGTCGCTGATGTAACTCTTCTTCGGTAGTGCTCGGAGCTTCCGCCGTCTGTTGGACACGTTGTCTGAGTTGTCCGACTCTTCGTCCGAGGAGCCGGTGGAGCGTTTCCTCCTCGACTTCCTCTTGGGTTTGTATTCCTGCTGGGAGCTCTCCGAGGCCGAGGTTTCGCTGCGAGGCCGTTTGGACTTCGTCTTGTTCCTCGTCGACCTCTTGGAATTGGATTCAGATTCCTCGCTGGAGTGATGGCTCTCTTCGTCTCTCTTCAGGCTCTTCTTGCGCAGGCTGGCTCTCTTTGGAGGATCGCTGAGCTCCTCTGACTCAGCACCGTCCGGTTTGTTGGTTGAGGCAGGTTTTTGTTTGTCTGGTGAAACTTTGCACTTCTTCTTAGAGTCCTTGTGGATGGCTTCCTCCACGTTTCTTCCGTTTTGGTGTGGGTGTTTCTGAGAACTGTGGTCTTTGTACTCTTCGTCTGAGCTGATGGGAAGTTTGTGTCTTGTGGTCCTGTGTTCAGTGTGCTCTACCTCTTCCTCCTCATCGTCCTCCTTATCATCGTCCTCCTCTTCATCTTCCTCCTCCTCCTCCTCCTCGCTTTCAATCTTCTTCTTCGTCTTGGCGGAAGTGGTTGCTTTGCTTCTAGAGGATTTCCGAGACACCGACTCTTCCTCGTCTCCAGAGCTCTCCTCTGCAGCCTCCTCTTGCTCAGAGTTGCTGTGAGGTTTCGCACCGTGTCCGTTCACTTGGGTCAGAGCATCTGCAGGAGAAAAGAGGGACAGAAATCCCACTGAGTACAGAAGCCTTTCCAAGTGTCAACAAGAAGTCTAATGATAAGCGATGAGGATGCTCCTTACCATTTCCCTTCGCCTTAGCAGCTTGTCTTGACGTCCTCTGTTTGCGGGACCTCGTGTCTCCATTCTGCTCATTTGGGGAGAAGGATGAAGCATCGCTGTCTTGGTCTTCTTCCTCCTCCTCCTCCTCCTCCTCGGATTCGTCACCCGATTCCTTTTTCTTTTGAGAAGCTAGAAAGAGAAACAAGGGCAGAGTTAATCTGTGATTCATGAATAATACCAAGTTTAAGATCCTAGCATTTGCTTATATTTTGGGGGGAGATAAAACAAATACACATGGTGTTGTAATATCAGGGTATACGCAGGAATCCTGAAGTCAAATGTAATCCCTTTTAAGACCCTTTCCATACATTTTAAGACCTCATCGCCACTTTGAGTTCTAACCGGTTACATTGGCGACACACTTCACCTCACATTGACTATATACAGTATTGATTGTCCTTCCTCCTTATCTTCCAACCATTTGGACGCAAACTTGCATTTCCCCATAACGATGTTGCTTACCAACCGGCGTAAACGGACCTTCGTGCACTATCAAGCAGTGAGCGTGCAATGTCCTGTTCTGATGACGTCAAATCCAACGGGATGCCATAAATAAACTACACAGAATCACACTACACACCTACGCAATGATTACATTCAGGCAGACTGTAGAATACAACCTCTTTGGACAATTTATATACTTATTGAAAACAAGCTACAAAATGTAATACCTTGGAAAATGCCGTTTTTAATAGCCTTCATTTTCGCTAAATTGATTTATCAACTTTTAATACTTTTTAAGACCCCGCGGACACCCTGAATAAAGAAATGCATGACAACGCATGGTATTTTTGTATCTTTATTATAACATTGTTCCTGAATGATCGGCCTGAAGTCCGACAGTTTTCTGACTCTTAGCTAAAGCATGGACAAAGCAGCTGTGATCCCCCTCTGTATAATGTGAGCATATTATCTCTGCTGCTATCATACTGCAGCACTATCTGTTCCTACAGTGGTGACCCTGTCCACTATCTCTCACTCCTGTGACACTTCAACTAACTGGAGCATGACTCAGCTGAATGCCTTTCCTCTGTTTTTGTCCAACTGTTTCTGAATCAGACAGTTTCATAAACAGGATTGTTTGATAAAGGCACTGAGCAGAGTGTTTTCCTACCCCGTCTCGAAGGCTTTTCATCAGAGTCGGAGCTGCTCTGGATCACCGCGGCGCGCTTGCTGGTCCGGATTGTGAGGCGGAGGCGGCTGCTGCTCCTCCTCGGCGTCTCCTCCTCTTCCTCTTCCTCTTCCTCCTCCTCCTCCGACACTTTGAGGAGTTTCATCTTGTTCACCGCTGCCCTCGCCGTCTTCCTCTTGAGCGACCTGCGCAGCGTGACCCCCTCCCCCCCGTCGGAGCCCGGGGACGAGGCTCCGTCAAAGTCCCGGTGGTGGCGCCTTGCACTGCGAGACGCTCGGCTGCTGTGACCGTTCACCTCTGCTCTGCCCTCTGAAAACCAGCCGTGAAGAAGAGTGTTTAACGTGTGTGTGTGTGTGTGTGTGTGTGTGTGTGTGTGTGTGTGTGTGTGTGTGTGTGTGTACAGAGTGTGAGGTTGTCTGTTGTCGTACCTGTGCGCCTCCTCTCCGCTCCAGAGCTGTTCCTGGTCAGCCGTGTGCTCCTGCTGCTCTTACTCCTGCTCGGGTAGCGACGACCTGAAGACTGAGAGGACATATGTCCATCCTCTCCAGCACCACTGTCCTCCTCCTCCTCCTCCTCCTCTTCCTCCTCCTCCTCTTCACTATCGCTCTCTGCAACAGCAGAAATTCACAAACACAACCTCAGAAACACACCTGTTTTCTCTGATTATTGGAAGAAGTAATGGAAGAAGACGCCGGAGAAAATGAAGAACAAGAAGAACCCTCTCTAGCTATCAGTATTTTAGACCGAATTGAAACTGAACTGACCTTTTTTCCTCTGCTTAGCGCGGTTGCTTCTCGTAACTCTGGCTTTGTGTCTGAGTCGATGGTGCCTCGAGGAGCCAGGACGTTTCTCCTCCTCCGACTCACTCGGCTCGCTCTCACTGTCAGACTCTGAAACAAATTTAAAAAATGACACGTAATGAATTAGGGTAATCCACTGTTGCTTTAAAGGGGACCTATCATGCAAAATGCACTTTTGTACGGCTTTTATACATGAATATGTGTCCCCGGTGTTCCAGGGAACTCACCAAGTGTCAGAAAACACAACCCTCTCTATTTTCCTCCATACCCAAATCTCTAAAAAAGGGGCTGTAACGGATCTGATAAAAACTGATCCAGATTTGAACACTGTCCTGACGTCAGGACAGTGGCGCTACGGCTATTGGGCCAACTCCACCAATCAGAAGGAGACAGCCACGGACATTGCCGTTCGAAAGCGCTGGAGACGCTGTAGTACATATGCCAGGCCTGTAGGTGGTGCTGTTCTCACAGAATCAGCCCTTGCTAAAAACAGAGCTAAAAAAGTGCAAATCAGGCATGACTAAAATGCATGATCTGTTTGGTATTTTGAAAAAAAAAAAGTATAAATATGCCTTATATAGGTATGGTCCTACACTATATTATTCAAATATAGCATGATAGGTCCACTTTAAGTTTCTGCCAGAAGAAAGCACAATGTGGACACCGGCCCTAAGCTGCAGAGTTGTTGTCGTACCTGGTGTTGATGAAGCACCTTTGGAGTCGTCGGAGGAGCTTCTCCTGCGACTCCTCCTGGCTCGATCTGGAACACCCACTTTGGCTGAGGTAGATTTGGTCACTGACGTGGACTCCACTTTTTCCTGAGTTTTAGCTGCAGCTCTCTTTTGACTGGAAAACAATATGAATAACCATCAAGGCACAGGCCTGGACTGACTTCATACACCTGAACCGTTTCCATTGTTTTAGCATTTACATTAGCTGAATAAACGCGTAACTCAACCAGACCTGGACGTGGACTGATCGTTCGGCTGCATTTTCTTGCGGCAGCGCTGACTGCGGCGGAGTCTGTCGCTGCTCTTGATGGCCGTTTTGTACTCGGATGTGATCGCTCTGATCTGCTCCTCGAAGAAGGCCAAGAGCCGCAGGGTCATACTGTAAATCTAGAAGAAGACAAAAAAGGACAAGTCAGATAAGTTTACAGGATACAGTTCTTATTTAAAATAGGATTGTGAATTGTATCTTTGTTTTTCCATTACATATTCAGCTTGTTACATATAGAGAACCGCAGTGACGGGCCCTAAAACCTGGAAGTAAACTTCTTCCGGTTCCTTCGACAAAAATGCAATGCAATTTCTCCATAGGATTTTGGAAAATAGCTCGAAATAAGGTCTGTGGTTGACACACATTTAAGAGACGGATCACGTTAGCCGGATAATCTCCACATGTCTACCCATCTCTGGAACCGGAAGAAGTTTACTTCCGGGTTTTAGGACGCGTCACTGCGGTTCTCTATTGTGCTTCGGGTTAAGTTAATGGAGTTATTTATATGTTTTTTTAAGATAATCGTCTTTTTGTAGTTAGAGATTTGAGGCTGTATAGAACACACTACAGGAAAAGGGAAAACCCCAAAAACATAATAGGGATTCTTTAAGATTACAAGCCATAATCTGTACCAAAAGAAGATTTTATTCGCTGAACTCCATCCATTTCACTTTTGTGATCACGTCCTCACCTTGGAGCGTTTGTTGGGAGTGTAAGCTTTAGCGTTGGCGAAGATCAGCCTTATGTCTTTGCACAGCTCTGTAGGGTTTTCATAGCGGTCCTCCCCCAGTGTCCTCCTCACGGTGCTGAAGTCCATGGGGGTGTCAATGATGTTCAGGTAGTCCTGGAAAAGCACATGGTTAAGACACTTGAAACATAACCTGCTTACGTCATTATGTTGTTGTTTTTTGCGTAAACGTACTGGGTAGTTCTGAGGATTCACAGGCTGTCTGAAGGGCTCCGAGTCCTCACACTCAAATATGTAGTTGAGGAGATTCTTGCACTTCTTCTTCCAGGCGTCTCTGTCCGGCACCACCTCTACAGAGCGCTGCAAACAGCAAGAGGACAGAGAGAGAGAAACATCAGGACGTGAAACACATCCCAGCTGGATCAGTCCAGGTCTCAGTCTATAGGCTCGTCTCAATTGAATATTTCACCTCCTCCTTTCCCTTCCTTGCGTCTTAGCTCCGCCTCCGTAAGATGCGAGCGAGAGACACGAGGAGGAGACGCGAGGACAGAGGAGTCCTCAGGTATTATTTGGGACGTCCTCGTTCACTCAAACGTCACTCTTAAACGACGTCTGTTAATGATGACATGTGCACAGCTGTATCCCCTCTCATCGGGCTTAACTGAATAACCCTTTAGAACCGGCCCATTTGTTTGAATTCCTTGACTAACAAGAGAAATATTTACAAACAAATGGGCCGGTTCTAAAGGGTTATTCAGTTAAACCCGATGAGAGGGGATACAGCTGTGCACATGTCATCATTAACAGACGTCGTTTAAGAGTGACGTTTGAGTGAACGAGGACATCCCAATAGCTGAAATGCACACGGAGGAGGGGTGAGGGAGGAGACGAAAGGGAGGATACACGAGAGCAGACTACGCGGAAGTGTTTTCACTACTCGCGTATAAAAGCCCCGCCCCCACCTTCACAGCTGGTCGATTTCAACTCAGGAAAACAGAGAACTAGAAGAATGAGTGGAAAAGCGTCACATAAATGTCTAAGTGCTCACAGCTCCGTGCAATTCATTTCTTAAGGTTATACTAACAATTTAAGTCATGTTTAATGATCTTGAACGTCACTAAAACATAGCTATTAAGAAAGCTATTCATAAATGGCTAGATCTTGATAAATAACAATTATTTGTATTGTTTGGTGTTCAAATATTCAGGAGTTAAATTCTTTAAAATGCACAGTCCTGAATGTGGGGATCTACAGGACACACATTTTCAGAGTAAAGGCTTTCACATTATTGTAATTATAATTTTATTGAAATGTACATTTTACACCACAACGGAACACAAAAGCAGGACCAACCATCATACATTGTAAATATTTCTCTTGTTAGTCAAGGAATTCAATGTATGGTGGTTGGTCCTGCTTTTGTGTTCCGTTGTGGTGTAAAATGTACATTTCAATAAAATTATAAATATAATAATGTGAAAGCCTTTACTCTGAACATGTGTGTCCTGTAGATCCCCACATTCAGGACTGTGAATTTTAAAGAATTTAACTCCTGAATATTTGAACACCAAACAATACAAATAATTGTTATTTATCAAGATCTAGCCATTTATGAATAGCTTTCTTAATAGCTATGTTTTAGTGACGTTCAAGATCATTAAACATGACTTAAATTGTTAGTATAACCTTAAGAAATGAATTGCACGGAGCTGTGAGCACTTAGACATTTATGTGACGCTTTTCCACTCATTCTTCTAGTTTTCCTGTGTTGAAATCGACCAGCTGTGAAGGTGGGGGCGGGGCTTTTATACGCGAGTAGTGAAAACACTTCCGCGTAGTCTGCTCTCGTGTATCCTCCCTTTCGTCTCCTCCCTCACCCCTCCTCCGTGTGCATTTCAGCTATTGGGATGTCCTTCAACATGGCGTGTCTTGATCGATTTCCGGGTCAAGTCCCAGAGGAGGGGAAGAGAGGAGTCGAGGAGGGGTATTGAGACAAGCCTTATGTGTTTTATGCATGGGTGTACCTGTCGCAGTCTGTGTCCGGAGGAGGTTCCTGGAGCTTCTGCATCCTCTTCCTGTAGGCAGCAACCAAATCAAGGTTACATCTGATCATTAACCAGAAGACAATTACCTACAACTACCTAAATATCAACTGTATTCTCTAGAGGCAAATTAGGTTTTCATGATCAGTCTCCTTCCATCAGTATCCACTCTATTTGTCAGTCAAACTAATATAGTAATTTGACAGCATTATACATCAAACAATTAATTACAAAGCAGACCTACCTCATCCTCATCATCCATCTCCTCCACAGCATTGTAAATCTCCATGATATCTATGCAGCTCGGATTACTGGGGAAGTAAAAAGGGAAACATGTTTACATTTAAATGAACGATATAGTGCCAGTAAATCGGGACTAAGAGTACTTTAAGAAATAAGGAGGTCAAACTTACTTGACAAATTTCTGGAGGACGTTAGTAATGATCTTTGCAGAGTGGGCGATCTTGCTCATTGGCTCATTGAAAGTTCGGGCGTTGTGTGCAATATACCTGGCATCCCAAACTAATGCTGAGAGACGCCTGTGGGTCAGCAGAGGGAGGAGGAGGAGGAGGAGGAGGAGGAGGAGGGGGGGGGGGGGGGGGTCAGTACAGAGTCTTCACAAACAAAACGTCAACTGTTGGACTTTCTGTAGACAGGCAGGATGAAGGAGGACTCGCCTGTAGAATCTGTTGAGGAGACGCAGCCGGATGGTGCCCAGGTCGGTGGGATAGGCGATCACAGTGCAGTAGGTGGGGTACTGGATTAAGTCCACAGGGCCAGAGAAAGGAGCTGCGATCTCTGTAACACAAACACCAGGAGTCAGATTCATAAACTCTGGAAGCAAGGGGGGGCGTTTTGGAGAAGGACATCATATTTTTTAAGATTATAAGCTTAAATTGTATCTGTAGGAGCTGTTTGTAAGGTCTCATTGTGATATTATTTCACTTATTATTGGTGGTTGGCGTGTACTGGAGTTGGGGGCGGAGATTTTAGTCTTTGCAGACCATTTAGATGCACAAAAACGTATATAAAAAACACACTACAGGGATAGAAAACCCATAAAAAGCAGAATACGGCCTCTTAAATTCATTGTGCTTGACTCCAGTGAGTCGGTGTCTTTACACATCCTACATGCTTCTGTGTGTTTGAGATATTAATATCCTGACTTGTGTGACAGGATGTACCTTTAGTTGTGGCCAGACATGTGAAAGAGGGTATGTGTGTGTCTTTTTTGTTGTTGCATACACACCAACAGTGATGAGCTGGTCGATGGCGACGATGATGCGTTCACACTCGGCGTCCCGGCTCCTCTCCCCCCACTCCCCGTGCAGAGGCTTGTACATCAGCTCCCTCATCTCCTCCTCCGTCACGGGGATCCCGCCTCCCTCCAGCTCCGGCTGCGGGGCTGCAGAGACACACTTAGTTCAATATGCATCCAACCTCAATGACCCTGCTCTGTGCTGTGCGTGTGGTTGAGACAGTTAAAGTAGAAAGTGTTAATTACCATCATCTTGAATCGGTTCCACATCCCAAGGACTCAGCTTCTCGGTTTCCCCGTTGTCCCATCTGGTGGAAACACAAAAACCAAAGTCAGTTTTCACTATTTGCAGCAACACTGACTGCTTCCTTCTTTGTCCCAGTTCAGATTACATTTGACACACAATAATTGTGTTAATCTCCCAATCCGAAGGTTGTGGTTTTGATCCTAGCCCCTGCAGTGAAACATGTTCATATATCCTTGGGCAAGATACTGAACCCCAAATTGCTGCTGATGGCCAACAGTGAGTGAGTGAGTGAGTGAGTGAGTGAGTGAGTGAGTGAGTGAGTGAGTGAGTGTGTGTGTATTTACAGAATAGTAATGCGTGTTACAAATAACATACAGATAACACACCTGTCATGACTCTTTATAACCACTAGTGGGCAGACATGCCATTTAGATATACTGTTGACTGCAAAAATACAACTGAACACAAAAACATATTAGAATTGAACAACTAACGTTTATTGAAAACATGTTGGTACGAAATCAATTATATGGTCTCATTGTGGCAATCCAAGGAGGCTCTCAAACAGTGGCCAAACTTTGCTTCAAAATATTAAAATTAAGATGCATTTTATTCATCCCCGAAGGGAAATACAGATCTTCACTCTGGTGTAATTTGCAATTTCACATTTCTATACACTGTACTACTACTTCTGCTTCTTACAGCATGAAAAACAGCACGTCCCGCACCATCCACTATTTCTACCCTCTTATGAGAAGAAGCATGATTTCCCACCTGACTTTGAAGCACTGGAAGAGGCTGTCGGGGTATTCGGACTGGTATGGCTCCTGACAGACGATCATCCCAAACCACCAGGCGTCGTCTATCACTGAGCGGAACCTGTCGTCTGCACAAAAGAGAGAAGATGTTCAAGAGGACGTAAACTGCCTGATACAGAAAATACAGAGGATGCTTCTTGGCCTTGAAGCAAACATCTCCAACAGGATGCACACACTTACTCGGTTGCCAGTTTCTCCGGAGCGCCTCGTCATAAGTCTGCCTCACCACGAGGAAATCGATCACGTCCGGCATGTCGTGATACCTGTGGGGGGGGGGGGGGGGGGGGGGGGGGGGTCAGTGTCACTTTAATGGGGGAGTACTACAAACATACGACTTCGCTTCCATTTCATAACACATATTACAGTACCAAAACTACGGCCGCCCTTTAGTTCGGATCAGAAATAGAACTAGTTTCCCAGTTCAAGTGTCTTGGAGTCATACTGGACTCGAACTTGGCTTTTAAGAAACATATTAAGAAAGTATCCAATACCATTAAATTCAACTTGCAACATTTTAAACTAATTAGACCTTTCTTAACTGTCAGTGCTGCAAAGCCATACCTCCACTGTATGATTCTATCCCACATTGAATACTGTTTTACCAACTGGTCGTTAGCTTGTGCCACAAACCTGAAACCCATAGAACAGCTGTACTAGAGAGCTATCAAGGTGTTTGACAGAAAGCCTTATTCATACCACCACTGTACCATCCTTGAGAAACACCATTTCTTGAGTTTTGACAATTGTAAGTCTTTTAAAAGTATGCGTTTTATTTATAAATGTTTACATGGACTGCCCCCCCCTCCCTCCCTTCAATCAATCAATCAATAGGATACGGCTGTAATAGGCCTAAGGCCTTTTAGTCGCTCATAAATAAGTAGATCACTGTTCTTTATATACTATGGATGCTGGCAACAGTCACATAGTCCAAAGTGAAGGTGATGTTTCATCCCCAAAAAACACACAGGACGCTGCACTAGGTCAGAAACCAGAGGAGACTGTGAAGTCCACCGTAGACGGACCACTTTTGGACAAAATGTCCTCTCCGTTAAAGGCAGCTCTTTGTGGAATAGCCTCCCAACTGAGATACGGGATTGTCCCACTCAATAGTTTCAAAGGTCAACTCAAAGAATGGTTGAGAAACAAACAGACGTGCGATCACCGCTAAATGCACTTTAACACAGGGGTATCCTCTCTTGCACTTTAGGTAGCTCTTGTATCTTCTCTTGCACTCTATATGTCGTTGCTGCTATATTGTACTGCCATGTGGTAAATACTTGTGTATGCTGCTCTTGCTCTCTTGCACTTTTTGCATAACATGTATTTTGTTTTTGCTATGTTTGTAAAATATAATGATCTTAAATGTTTTATGTGAGGGACTGCGGCTGGAAATTAGCTCAAAGCTAAATCTGGCACTGTTACGCTTGATACATTTTAATGTTTTAAGTGTTCATTACTGTGCATTGTCCCTGCCAAATAAACGATTAAATAAAAATAAATTAAAAAAAGGAATTTATTATTATCATAATTTCGAGCGTCAGTCTTTTGAATTAAAATATTAAACAGACCAAAATCTCTTTGCATCATTTGTAATCGACACACATTTTTATCATTTTCAAGGGGGTTGAATTCAAGTAATTGTTTATGTACATTCAGTTCAAATAATGCTCAGGCAAATACCCCCTTCTTGTTGGGGTGCTTCTGGTAGTAAAACATGTATCAAAACTTTCACACAAAGGAGGCAGTAAATGAAGTTGAGCTGCTTACTTGACAGAAAAGGACTTGTCTGATATTTTTCCGGTGCCGTTGTCGATGAGCGTCAGCTTCAGACAGCAGAGCGTGGGAGGAGACACTTCATATTTGATCCCAGTGATCTTCACAAACTCTTGGTCCTGGAATACAAACAGCAGGAAGTGCATTTAATTTGACGTCAGTGCAATCTGTTTGTGTTTTTTTGTGTGAGAGAGACTTTATACTTCTTACCCGCAGCTCCATTTTCTTCCAGGGCTGTTTGTCTGAGTTGATGGGGTACAGGTCGCCGCGGCTCACCGTCTCAACGTAGGCCTCGTGTCCCTGCCGGAAGTAGATCACCTGACAACACACACACACACACACAGATTCACAGCATTTTTAAACATCCCAACTAAAGAAATGTTTTCTCACGGCCTCTTATAACATCTCATGTTCGTACCTCATCGCCCATTTGGGGAACAAAAGGAGACTTCCTGGGAATGACGTCGGTGATCCACGGTGACGGTCTGAACTCGTTGGACACTTCTCTGTTGATGGATGGTCTGACCTTTGGACGCTGAAAGGAGAAGATGGAGAACGATAAGCAAGTGAATATGAACCCATTTTATAATATTTGTTATAAAATGTATCATAATAATTCCTCACTGACAGAAACAAAGACTGAACAATGGTTATTAGCTAGGGATGCTCATGCCGTTTGCCTATTTACAGTCATTTGAGCCAGTAGGGATTTAGTCAGTGACACATCAGCATTAGTTTGGATACTGAATCAAAACTCACTCTGGGCGTCTTGTTCTTTGCTTTCTTGGATTTCCCTTTGCTTTTCTTGCCAGCTCTTTCCTCCTCGTCGCTCTGCTGCTGTTGCTTCTCCTTCTCCTCCTCTTCCTCGTTCTCCTCCTCCTCTTCCTCTTCAGAGCTGCTGATCCTGCGCCGCGCTCGTTTCCGCGATGATAACGGGGTGGAGGGCTGCAGGTTGATACCAGCGTCCGCCGTCCAGTCAGAGTACTCGCTGGACGTGTGGCTGCCGAAGAAAGAAACAGTCGGGATTACAAGTCTCATAAATGATTACAGGCAATACAAAACAAATATCGATCATTTGTTTAAACCTGTGTGGAGTACCAGATGGGGGGGGGGGGCATTGCCACTCAAAGAGGCGCTTTTACTCTTTCTGAAGTGTATCCTTTCCTGTAGTGTGTTCTATAGGTTTGTGTGCATGTAAATGGTCTGCAAAGGCTAAATCATGTGTGCCCTCCAGAGGGAGTTTCTCTCCTACTCCTTTGTTTACTTCCAGAACAGTGTGACATCACTATGTAACACTTGCACTCCTATAGAGTGGTGCAGGGATGACATATTTACCCGGAAGTAAGCTGCGCTCGGGTTCCCTCGACAAAAAAGCAAATGGGATTTCTCCATAGGATTTTGGAAAATAGCTCGAAATAAGGTCTGTGGAAAACGAACCTGTTTGATAAATGCACGTTTTGTTCAGGCGGATAATATCCACATGTCTACCCTACTTTTATCATTTTCGAATCATAAATCTAATCGCCAGAAGCAAAATGCTAACGTTATGCTATAAACGAACTACAGCCGAGTACGTCACGCTAACTTAAGATCGATATTCAAATATACAGATTCTAAATTGTACAAGTTGAAGCGTTTGTTTGAACGGTTTGCAGGAGGCAGGTACTTGCTTTCAAGCAGAACAGGGCAAACAAACTTAGCGGGAGTGTTTACGTGTTCGGCGTAATGACGTACAACGTCCTCGACAACTTCTGTAGTCCTATTCAGCCACTTGGTAACAACCATCGTTTTTCAGACACGTAAACTCTTCAGAAATCACCAGTGGGGTCACTGCTGATGTATTTAATGTCGTAGAACAAAACGTGCTCTGTCTCTTACATTTGTGTCAACCACAGACTTTATTTCGAGCTATTTTCCAACATCCTATGGAGAAATCCCATTGACTCTGGGACGAGGGAACCGGAAGTGGTAAAAATGCTAACTTACTTCCGGGTTTTAGGACTCGTCACTGCACCACTCTATTGTCTAGCGCTCCAACACATTGTACGTGATAGGCTAATGGGCGGCCGGGACATCTCTCAGTGGTCGACCAATCACAGCAGACCCGGAAAATGTAATTAAAGCATGGACACTTAACACAGCACAAAATAAGAACATGAACCTGAAAGTAAGTAAAATATGTCCTCTAAAAAGTAGTCATTCAATGTTTGTGCAACGATGAAACTTTTTTTATCTTTATCTGGTAGTCTTAACAAGTTCAGATAAGAACACTTAACGACTTTTTACCTTGAGCTGTCACTTTTCCACTCTTCCTCATCATTGGATGAATCCATTTCACTGCCATCCAACTCGCCCTCCTGAAGAAATAAAAGAAATAAAAAAGGGAATTGTTTCAAATCCAGCTGACGATCCAGCAGATCCAGAAGACAGCAGATGCATATAAATAACACTTTAACAGAGTCACAGACAGGCTTGGGGAGTAACGGATGCCATGTACGGGATTACGTATACAGGATACAAAACAAAACTGTATTTTCCTACAGGTACCTAGTCATTCTAACAGATTACATGTTTAAAGTAACCCTCCCAGCCCTGGTCCCAGTGGAGTGGAGGGTTTGATACCTCGCTGTGTACCTCTGAACTGGCCGTCTCCTCCCCCTCCTCACAGGACAGGTCCATGAACTCCAGCACTCCGTGTGCTCGCCTCGCAGTTTCATCCTCGTCCGAGTCGTCCTGAGGGACAGATGGAGCGGACTCAACACCAGTGCGAATATTTGTACAGAAATAGTTGTAAACAAAATCATACAGGGACGGACTGGGACTGAAAAACAATAACATTTCTGACTGGAAAGAGTTAATTGACATGGGCTACATAACATTCGAAAACCGGCCACAACTGTAGGTTAAAGGTGCGACCCGGTTCTTAAACTAAAAGCACTCCACCCCTGCATGGCACCACTTGTGTGGGCTGGGCCGAGTCAGAGTCCAGGGCAGCAGGAGAGTCAGTTCACCCGTCTGCAATGAACTATGATTGTATGTGGGTCATTCTAACAGTGTTATACAGTAGTATGAAGGAGGGGCGCATCAGCTTCTTTCCCACTTCAAAAAGTTACTTTTCAATCTGGGCATAGCCGTAGTGCTTATAAGCATGTGTGTACATAGACAAAAAATGACTTGAGCACGTAAAGCTGTTGTGCACACAACGCAGCAGCAGCCGTGTCACAATGCCTTAATCTGAACTCATAATATTATCGGAGATATCTTTACTTCACGAGTAAGAACCAAACCAAATTTGCATTAGCGCTGTCGCCATCTGTCACCCATCAGTGTGAACAAATATATATAAATTAATGCGTGTGACTCCAGAACACACATATGTCCACTCCCATCAGCAATTATATGAATCTATGCTTATACATAAATAAACAATCCTACAGAAATCATATTGGAAATATTTGATATCCAAACAACAATAGCTTGTTATTCTGTCAGGCCCCATCTTATATCACAGAGGTTGTCTTTATGTAAGATTATATCAAAAACTAAAAAGGTGACAGAGCCTTGGCTGTGAGAGATCATACATTTCCCCTCCATCTGGTTTCAAACCTGCCGTTTCTTACAATACGGTAGACACTTTCTATTGATAAATTACAGAATATGGGTACATATTTACCATATTTCCATAGTTTCTCTTGGAATAAAACCACATTGTACATTTATATAATCTGTTCAATATTTATATTCCATATGTCATATATGTATGTATATATTTATATATATATATTTGTATATATATATAATACCTTGTTAAATTCAACATGTATATTTTCTACTTTCTATTTTATTTCTAGTTTTGAATTTTTATTGTTTTATTGTAAAATGCCTCGTCTTTTTATGCTGCTGCAACACAAAAATGTCCCAAATTGGTATCAATAAAGTAGAAGAAGGAGAATTGGGAGGGATGAAACCCTCTGTAATGGTCACACATGCAGAGCACACAGCACACACAGTGACATGTGTTCTTTTAACCCATCCTAGTGCCAGGAGTCTAGTACTAGGAGCAGTGGGCAGCTATTGTACAGCGCCCAGGGAGCAATGGGAGTGAGGGGGGAAGGGGGGTGTCCGGTGCCTTGCTCAAGGGCACCACGGCAGGGCAGGAGGTGAACTGGGACCTCTCCAAGTAGCAGTCCATACTCCATATTTTAGGTCTGGTCGGGGACTTGAACCGGCGACCCTACAGCTCCCAGTCCAAGCCCCTACTGACTGAGCCACTGCCGGACTAAGTATAAGTATAAGTACCATCTTATCTTATCTTATTATTTTAGACCTCCTACATTAGCCGCGTTCACACCGGATTACTTTTCACCGTACTTTTAGCGTTTAGTTCCGTCAGTACCCCTTATGTCGCGTTCACACCAAAAAGAGCACTTCATCTCGGGAACTTTTACCCCCATTTTTAGTGCCTGCTGAGAGATGGTACTTTCCTGGGGGAAAAAAGGGCCCCAGTTCTGATTGGCTGGGCGAATTGCAAACCACGCCCCGTACAACTCTGAAATGTTTTGTAGAGCCGCCATTTTATTATCCTGGCATTAGCATTATTAGCATTAGCATTCGCCCAGTGCACAAACGCAGAGAGACTAACTTATGGCAACACAAAATAAAACATGGGAGCGGTGGAGATGAGGAGGTGTCGGCGTTCTGGCGATTTACTCGGAAGGCTTCAGTAGAAGCTGCTGGGAGTCCCAGCAGCTTCTACTGAAGCCAGTCCCCAACTCCGGGGACTTCCGGCCGGGGACTCCGGGTGGCAGTATACACCGTGAAGTTGTTTGCGGCCTGCCAGTAAACCCAAAGTAGAAGAAGACGAAGTGAAGTCAGCGGCTCATTTGCGTAATCTTCCCTCAGGGAAAAGTACTCCGGTGTGAACGTGATCTGTACTAAATGCCCTGGGGTAATAAGTGCCGGGGCACTGAGTGCCGGCACTAAATACGGCAAAGTACTTGGTGTGAACGCGGCTAATGAAGCAAAGTAAACAGAAACGTACTCGACAGCTGCTGTAGATAATGCGTCTCTTCTTGGCGTTGTACAGAGACATCTCCTCATCTCCTCTGGCTGTTCGAAAGTTCTCCTGCTCCCTGAAAAACAATGAATAGTAACAACATTTAAAAAATGCTGTTGCTTGCTGGGCGCATTTAGACATATGCATTTTAAAAACACCACAGAGAGCTCAGACTTTTTCAGTCCAAGCCTTCCAGGTGATGGCAAGGTCAAGACTGACCTCGCCATCACCTGGAGACAAAGTACCAAAACAGGAAGTGGGATGGTAGCAGAGGTTCACACGGATGTTAAAAATGATAAATGTTCCTCTGTAAACTAGCTAATTATGGTCAACCTAAAGTCTGTGTGTGGTTGGTTTCTCTGTGAATGGTAGATGTAGTTTGTCCCTCTCAGGTACCTGTAGCTGCTGGGCGCCACCTCCGGCACCACCACCCTGCGCCTCCAGGCCTGCAGGTCCCTCTCTGTGGCCATCTGGCTGCGAGGGGCGTTCTGGTGCATCTGCCGGACCCCCTCCACCTGCCCGCTGCGGCGCAGACCCACGTTGGGGGGCGACTGCACGTCCGCTCGTTCATTCACAGACGCTGTAAAGAAGGACAAACATTACCTTTTACCCCGGGGATACCACGGAGAGACCGGAGCGCTTCCACGCTGCTGCTTTCGCCTGTCCTTTGCTGCTGTGAGGAGGAGGATTTTTGCCCCAGGAACATCGCGGATACTGTGTGCTGGTCTGGGAAAATGGCCCATATCGTGATTCTGCTGTGCCTATTAACTGTTCTGGACTATGAGAAGATCTCTAGTCATTCTGAGAAGCCTACTGGATTCAGGTCTGTTCTGCCACCCGCAGTGGGCATCCCCTGCAAAGGGTCGGATGTGTTACACAAACAATTACCGGTTGCCTTGTCGCAGACAATCTGCTCGACAAAATATGTTTGTCTTTTTTGTTTGCCTGCGATGATGGTACTTCAGGACTGCTTCTTAAACTCTAATCAAACTCTCGCAGACGTTTCCGGTGATTCTAAAGTAGATGACAATGTGTGTGTGTTGTTTAAGAGGAAAAGATGCCTGTTTTTTTTGTTGTTATTACTGTCAGGAAATGTTCAACCTAACCCTGGTCCGCCCAGTAGTAGTAGTCAGATCGCTACTCCTGCTGATTTTAAAGCTAGGTCTGGGTTGGGTTTCATCCACTTGAATGTGCGCAGTCTGTTAGGTAAACTAGATTTTGTCCGCATTTGGGCAAGCTCGACTGACGCTGACGTCATTGTGTTATCAGAAACATGGCTAAATAAAACTATTTTTGCCTCTGACATATCCTTAAATGGTTATAATGTGTATCGTACCGACCGGCCTAATAAAGGTGGTGGAGTTGCCATTTATGTTAAGAATAAGTTCAGTGTAACCACATTGGTTTCCAAATCTGTCAGTAAGCAATTCGAATTTTTAGCCTTAAATATAGAAGTGGCAAAGGGGCAACAAGTCATGGTGGTGGGGTGTTACAGACCCCCCTCAGCTGTCAAGGACTCCTTGTCTTCACTAGCAAAACTTTTATCGCAACTAGACTATAAGGAAATAGTGCTACTTGGAGATTTTAACTGGGACTGGTTAACTGCAGTATCAGAGGATTTTAAAAACCTTTGTATCTCTCTGAATGTTACTCAGATTGTTGACAGTCCTACTCGCCCTAACGTTAAGTCCCCTAATAAATCCTCCCTAATTGACCTCATTCCAACTAATGTTCCCTATAAATACCCATCTGTGGGAGTATTTGCAAATGATGCGAGTGACCACTGTGTTGTAGCCACAATTAGGGACACTAAGGTCCAAAAGGTTAAATCTCGTATTATCATTAAGAGGGACATAAAACATTTTGTGGAGCAGGGTTTTGTTCATGATCTGTTTGGGTTTGATTGGGGAAAAATCGATCTGTGTGCTGATGTAGAAACTGCATGGTCTTATTTTTATCTTGGTTTTATGGAGATCATTGATAGACATGCACCCCTACGTACTTTTAGAGTGAAGGGACGAGACAATCCTTGGTTTTCTGCTGAACTGTCCAGTCTCCTACATGAGAGAAACAAGGCCTGGGCAAAGGCTAGGAAATCAGGCTCAGAGGTAGAATGGCTGCGTTTTAGGCAGCTAAGAAATAGCTTCACTTCACATGTCAAAAGTGCTAAGTCGAAGTACTATTTGTCAGTTACCACAGAAAACCTAAATAATCCTAGGAAATTTTGGAAAGCCATAAAATCGATATCCACCGGTGAGATCCGAAATGAGCTACCTCCGTGCATTACCACAGCATCTGGCTCTATATCGGACAGGGCTACTATGTTAAATTGTTTTAATGAGCATTTTGTGTCCTGCGGTTCTATGTTTGATTCTGTGACTAACTCTGCTTCTGTGAACACCACAGTCGGTGACTCTGAACAATGTGGTCTGGAAAACCTTTTCAGTTGTACTGCTTTTACTGTAAATGTTGTTCATGAAGCTTTAACCAAGTTAGATCCTAAGAAACCGGCCGGCCCGGACAACGTGGAACCTTTCTTTTTAAAGATAGCTGCAGATTTTATTGCTCCACCTCTCACTACTCTTTTTAACCTCTCCCTCAGCACAAACACAATTCCAAAAGTATGGAAGTCAGCGTATGTCCTGCCACTACTAAAAGGAGGGGAGGCAACTATTTTAAATAACTATAGGCCAATCTCTAAATTATCAGTTCTGGCTAAGGTTCTTGAACGCCTAGTGAGTGAACAGGTAAAGGAGTTTTTATGTAAAAATAATATCCTGTCTAAACATCAGTCAGGCTTCAGAAAGCAACATAGCACCATCACTGCCACAATGAAAGTGGTGAATAATGTGGCGAGTATTTTAGATAAAAAGCAGAGTTATGCAGCTCTATTTATTGACCTTTCCAAAGCGTTTGACACCGTCGATCATCGCATCTTAAAGCAGAGGCTACTCAGTATTGGCTTATCCAGCCATGCAGTGGGGTGGTTTGTGAACTACCTCTCTGAAAGGTCCCAATGTGTTCACTTTGATGGGCTGTCTTCTGAGTGGTTGAACATTGCTAATGGTGTTCCTCAAGGTTCTGTTTTAGGTCCACTTTTATTCTCCATCTACATCAATAGTTTAGGTGAAAATGTGGATGAAGCTACTTTACATTTTTATGCGGATGATACCGTGATGTACTGTGCACGTCCCTCCATTAAGGAGGCGGTTGTTAAATTACAGGCTGTTTTTAACATTATTCAGACTCAGCTCTCTGAACTAAAGCTTCTTTTAAATGTTGAGAAAACCAAGGTAATGCTCTTTTCTAAAGCTAAAAAGACTCCAGAGACTGCTTTGGATATTGTTACTATGCAAGGACAAATACTCCAAGTGGTTAGCTGTTATAAATACCTTGGTATCTGGCTTGATGATTGTCTTACTTTTAAACTTCAGGTCACTAATCTGCTTAAAAAGCTGAGGGTTAGACTAGGTTTCTTTTTCAGAAACAAGTCCTGTTTCTCTTTTGAAGCCAGGAAAAGGCTAGTCACTGTGACCTTTTTACCTGTGCTAGACTATGGTGATTTGATCTATATGAATGCACCTGCCCATTGCCTGGAAAGGTTAGATGCCGCCTATCACAGTGCACTGAGATTTGTTACTAACTGTAAAGTACTTACTCATCACTGTAACCTGTATGCCAAGGCAGGTCTGCCTTCACTTACTGTTCGGAGGCTCAGTCATTGGTACATATTCATATATAAAGCCATGCTGGGTAAACTACCGACTTATATATGCTCTTTGATCTCACGGAGAGTGGCAAGTAGCTATTGCCTGAGATCCCAGGATGTGTTCTTATTACATGTGCCAAGTGCTAGGACTGTTTTAGGTACTAAAGCTTTTATGTGCGCTGCTCCTCTAGCTTGGAACACTATGCAAAAAACATTGAAACTGAGCATTTTGATTCCCTTGCATCGTTTTAAAGCACGGCTGGATGAAATGTTATTGGATACCTGTCACTGTAAATAGGTTGCTAATGTATACCCCTGTAATTATGTTGTGATGTCCTTTTGTTTTCTGTTGTTTTTATGTGTAACTAATGTACCGCAGGTCTCCCTTGAAAAAGAGATCGTTGATCTCAATGGGATTTTTTAACCTGGTTAAATAAAGGCTACAAACAAACAAACATTAACCTTCAGTAAATGGAAGCTGTAAGTGTAGCCTTACAATGTTGTTATTTCATTATAAAGGATATTTCTCCAAGATTAATATAGTCATTTGCTTGTTTCATTATTTTATATACGTGTGTAATTGAGAGTAACAGTGTGAAAAAAGTTGTAGCATGTAACTAACAAGGTTATGTTGTTTTGTTGTCTGTATAAACAATGATGTTTCACCCCAATTTTGAAAATGTTAAAGTTAAATTCATCAATCTAGGCCACTTTGATTATGTGTTTTCCTGCCTAGGGACTGCAGACGGAAATAAGCTTTCAGCTATAATCTGACATATAGCATGTTTTTATGAAGTCAATTAATCAACAACACTAGATTGTAAAACAGATTGTGATTTCCTTTTGATTCAAGTGACTACTGTGACTAAAAGATAGGTTTTTATAGTCCTCACTTATACCTCTGCGTGGGGTGCTTGGTGCCGGTACCAAGAATAGTCCCTGAGCCTCAGCTTGCCCCTCCGGTGCTGCTGCGGCCCCCGGAGCGGCCTCCCCCTCCCCGGGCTGGCCCTGCTGGTCCTGCTGGAGCTGCAGGTTTCGGATGGCCTCGTCCAACAGGTTGCTGCGTCTGATCGCAGCCTCGTCGTGCTCTGAGGTCTGCTGGCTGATCACCTGCTCCACCACCTCGCCGTCACCTGGAGGCAAAGTCATGAAACGGGAAGTGAGATGAAAGCACAGGTTCACAGAACTTAAAAGTCCTGACTAAAACTGTGAAATGGATATAAAAAAAATACAATTGTGTGGTTGGTTCAATTCTTACTGGTGGCGACGTATCCCAGCTGAGGAACCAGGTGTTCTGCAGCAATGTTCTCCCGGCCTGGGACGAGACGCTGGTACCTGAAAATCAAGTAAAGACATTACTGAACAAATTAAGACATATTTGATGTTGAACACAGCTTGAACCAATATTTAGTTTTTATTATTTTATTGCATGGACCTAACATTCAAAAACATGAGCCGCAGGTATAAATAAAGATTGGATGTCTACTTTGGTGGATGGGGGTTTCCGTCCACGTCCACCAGGAAGGGTGGGGGCATGAGATGGGGGGCCTGCTGCGTCTGCTCGTCCAGCACGAAGCCGTTGGTGTCCCGGATCAGCGGCCGGTAGTCTGTGTGGAAGAACACCTGGTCTGGAAGCTGTGAGGAGACCAGGAGAGAGGAAGTGTAAGACACCCTGAAGCTTTGGTCACTCTCAAGTGAATACAAATATAAGCTTTCATAAATAGCTAAATAGTTTTTGTAAAAATGTGCATGTGACACGTTTCCTTACCTTTTCATACGGCTTGGAGCTGCCGAAACCAAAGATGAGCAGATGGCCATGAGAGTCCGTGCAGGCGAAGCGATGACCATCTGGGGTGAACTTGCAGTCAAAAACGGCCCCATGTCCCTGGCCCTCAATCTGTGAGAGAAACACAAAATCACAACAGGACAAAAGTCATTATGTAGATCGTGAAGCAGCAGAGAACTACACCGTGAAAAGACTTCAAAGTTACAGCACATCTCCTCAGTCAGTGTTTTAATCCTTTAAAATGACCTTCTTCTCCCTGGTCACCTGGCCCAGCAAGATATGTAAACCTCGGCTACTGCCATGGGCGAATGTCACCGTTTTTTGCCTATGGCAGTAAATAGGGCGAATGCCTGCTTATTTAAAAATGTGCATCCCTAGTATTGTTTGTTTATCGTGTCACAGAATGGTTTTGTTTACCATTATGTAATGTCATGTTCTCATAGTGTCACTGTACCATGTTGAAGTAGTGCTGTGTGTTGGTTCCTCGCAGCAGATCCCATATGAAGACGTTCCCGTCGTGGCCGGCAGACAGGATGATCCGAGGGTCGAACGGGTGCGGCTCCAGGACGAACACCTCGGCCTCGTGGCCCTGAAAACACAGCTCCTGTTAGTCCATGTGTGGGGGGGGGGGGGGGTAATGAGGGGGTTAGCTCTGTGTTGTAGTAACAGAATCATGATTACTTTAAGGATATGTAGCAGCTGTCCTGTGTAGGAGTTCCACACTTTGAGGAGATGGTTGTTAACGGCCGTAATGACTGTGTTGTCGTGGCGGTCCCACGCTACCATGGTGACTTTGGGTTTGAAGTGGCTCTCCTCTTCACTCATTGGTTCAACGCTGAGAAAAAAACACAACAAATCAGAAAAAAAAACACTCTGTAAAGGTACACCTCATTATATATGATCTTATAGTGGTAGAGTTTCATTATATCTGAACACAAACGAGAATACAAATTGTCAGCTTGTATCTGATGATGTATTTTCCTGAATTTCCTGTTGCTAAAACATCTTTCTCTAGTTCTCTCTATGTCTTCTTCAGATGAACACAAATAAAGAGGACACATCTAGGGCCGTCTCCACATAGCATGTTTTCTGAGCGTCTGTTTTCAATTGATCCCAATGAGAACATGCCGTCACATGCATCCGCCTCCAAAAAGAAAATAGGCCAGCCTCTTGTTTCTGACAGTGTCCGAATGGAAACTGTCATGACAAAGAGCAGATCTGCTGGGCGGACCCTGACGGTTAGTGTGTGACTTTTATCGTCCTCCTCCCTCGCTATACGGCTGTTAGACTGAGCAGTGAAGCTCATCCATGCAGAGTTTCAGAGTAAGCATCTTCCGGTTGATTGTAATAGCGAAGAAACATGTCACACACATATATAGTAGCGTAAACAGATAATAAAATCCAAGGGGGAAACGCTGGTCTTTCATAGAACAGCAACGATACGTCGAGATATCGTGTTTTTTGATGAAATGCATAGAGTAGGCTCTGCCCAGCGCCTTACTGCCTGAACACAGACGCTATGTGGACACACGCCCTAAGGAATCCTCACTGCTGAACATTAAAGAGCTCCTTACCCCGGCAGAGTGGCGGCCATGTTGAGCAGGAGGCTCCTCCACTGCTGCCGCAGGTGGAGCTTCCAGATCCGGGCGGTTCCATCTCGACTCCCACTCACAAACCTGAGACAGGACAACACCACACATCACACCACTGTGTACACATCTGTATTTAATTCAGTATGACAGAAAATCAATGATGAGTAAGTAAAGTGATTGTACTATACCTTTCCCCTGAGTGGCAAAATTGGATGCTATCAACTTTGTCCTAAAAGAGAGCGGAGACATGGAGAGTGATCATGAGTCATTTGTAATGTAACTGCTGAATGTTTAATATGTTACATTACATGACACGTCACTTGTTAGACGCTTTTATCCAAAGCGACTTACATACTCAATACTGTGGGCAATCCCCACAGGAGCAATTTGGGGTGAAGTGTCTTGCCCAGGGACACAACGACATGCTGACTGCAGTGGGGTTTGAACCTGTGCTCCCTTGATCCGAACACCAACGTACTAACCCACTACACCACAGCCACCATGTTAAATGGTATCTGTGTGTTGCATCGTTTCTCACCGTGTGCTCGTGCAGCTCGGATATCTTCTCTGGACTCCCGCCTCCAAGGTAGTATATTCGGATGACATCGTCAGTACTTCCTGTTACTAAGAACATCCCACCTGAAAATATAAAAAGGTAACAAGTTAACTTTAATGTCGGTAATAAAGATATGCTCATAATAATATATATAATAATAATAATAATAATAATAATAATAATTGTACTTATTATTTTTCTCTTAGAATAAAAGGCATACGACATAGCCTGTTTCTATTATATTTTTAAAAACATGAATTTTTATTCTGAACGGAAAGCATCTGTGGACAGATCAAGTAAATTAATACAAGTTTTTTTTTTAAATGCCTTATCACATGAAGAGAATACATTCAGGCCTTTTCAATACAACAGATACTAACATTTCAAATAACAAGTCTACCTAAAATGAATGTGAAAAATTACCCGGGCTGAATGAGGAGCACACCGTCTGGACTCCTGGCCTCGGACGCTCTGTAAACTTGTGTGGCCGATCGCTGTAGGACAGGAGAGAAAATGTTACAGTTTTTATACAGAATAGGATATTTTTTACTGCAAAAATGCATTGAATGTAACACAAAAACTAAAATACAAAGTAAAAACACACAATATTTGGCAGAAAAACAATAAAAGATCTCTGAATCCTTTAAGAGACTTTCCATTAGCAGATGTTCAACATGCAGAACCAGTGCTGACCTTTTCATCTGTGTTTATTTAATGGTCTATCCTTCAAATCTATCAGAGTTTAACCTCATCCAACCGGCATTTCAACTGCATGACAGAAAGGCTTTATAGTCAGGTGATATACATATCTTTGTAATGTAAAGAATTGCTCTGCTGATATCTTACCGTTTTATCTTTTTAAGTATTTGCTTGCCTTTACAACTACATGCTTGTGAGTCACAGTAAAGCAGGCCCTTTGAATGCAGCTATATTTATAACCAATATAGTAGCTTGTACAGAAACAAGACTGTGAAGCCTTGAGGTGTTTGCTGCAGTAAACGTTTACATAACAGCCCATAGTTTAGCATGTTTGCTTTTAGCCTCGTCAGTTCAACTGATAAACAATGTTAAAATAACAGTTAATTTTCCTTTCAATCAATAACACACTGATCTCAATCCTTGCTTCTTTATAAGCTTACGTTCACACCAGACACAACGGGAAAATGGGCATCAATTGTGCCACGTCATTATTTGTGTTTACTTGTGTCACTCAAACTAGACGTGCCGGCTTATCGCCATGTAGATACTAACATCGATTAATCAGCCATGGTCAAAATCACCACTTTTGCTGCCTTGTATATTGTGTGGTAGTCACAGATACGTAAAGAAGCCAAACACCGTGGTCTCTGGGTTCATCACATCACCCAGGGACAAACATAGCTAAGACAGGAGCTTAGCTAAGACAGGAGCTTAATTCAGACAGCAAGTCACAAGTCAGCTGAATTGATCTTATTTATCACAGCCGTATGAACCCAAAATAAACACATTTTGCAGTGATTTAATTGCAATACATGTTTCAAAATCAATGCCCGAAATATCGATATAGCAGTGGCGAAGCGTGTCTATCACAACTGGACCTTCTGTAGACACACACACACACACACACCCACCCCCCAGCCGCCGCTACCTATAAAACACACTACAGGAGAGGGAAAACCGCAACAAGCATAATAAAGCCTGATTAACATTTTCTGTTTAAAAGCAGCACTCACCTAAAGTTGATGTTGTTGACGTCCCACTGCCAGAAGCAGACGGTAGCATCAGTTCCAGTGGAGAGCATGTAGCGCTTTGAGCCCTTAGCAAACGGTGAGAACTGAAAAACAACAAATCCACAGATCAGACATCTCAATCACTCAATTTATATTAAAATCAAGACATGCATTCGTCATGAAGCGTCCTCACAGAATCCTGTGCAAACGTGTTTTTACACTTAGCCGAGGCAAGATGTCATTGCAATAAAGCGATGATGCAATGATGGCTGATGGGGACATATTGTTAGTAGAAAACAAGACTTTGCCAGAGCTGCTACCGCCCCTCCTCCTGATTTATTTTAAGGCAGTGTCAATGCAGCAAAAGCATATACTGCCCCCCAATGTTTTGTTAAAGTATGAAATGTATGAATTAATGTATTAGTGTGGAATACTACTGTGAATATTTGTTTTTATATATTTGTGGATAGAAATAAACTTTGGATTCATGATGGCTAAACTGGACGTCAGAGAAATCAACAGATGACGACGGACAGGAAGTAAACACTAACGCGAACAACAGAAGACAGAGAGGAAGTAAATAATGACGGGAACAATGTATGGGCTCTGGCAGGGTTTAAAGACTGGTTATTGGAAAATAAAATGTACATCATCATGCCAGAGATGTGTTTACCTGTAGGGAGGTAATGGATCCGCTGTGCCCCTGCAGCACAGCCACGGGGGCACAGGTACGAAGGCACCACACACGGATGGTCTTGTCACAGCTTCCTGCGGCGATGAGCGTGTTCTCATAATTAACCGCCAGGTCTGTGATCTCTGCGGAGTGTCCTCGCAGCGTGGAATGAAGCCTTCCATCGAACGAAGACCAAATCTTCACCAAACAGTCGTCTGAGCCCTGACGAAAAAACATACCAATTTCTTGGTTAATAATCTATTCTAGTATGCATTAAAAGATAGTGGCGACCTACCGATTAAAATCCCCCTATGACTGGAGCAACTTAGATCATAACAACATCATATGTAGGTGCAGTCCCAAATAAGGCATGGCAATATGTCAATTTAAGATTGATATTGTTTTACGAGACTAGATATCATTGTGCTGCCTTTGAGGTGGATCAGTAGTCCATTCGTTGGGCCATTTTTCTTGGCACAGAGTGAGTGACGATGTGACTCCGTACAAAGATCCCGCAGATCGTTGTACGGAGTCACTGTGGAGTGGAGACAGTGATGAGTGTTGCTGTATTTTATGTGTTTATGTGTTAGCATGTGTTAAGCTAAACATGTGGTATTTAAGCTAGCAGTATGTTAGCTAGCTCTGTTTGTGAAATGTCACTGTATCTGCAGTAGTAGTACAAATCTTGTGTTTATTTTATACAGTACAGTTTTCAAGTTCCAAATTTCAAGAAAAGACAAGCCTTGTCTCTTTTTTGGAAAACTTGTGCAGGTTAGCTAGCTGTCTAGCTTTGCCAAGGAATACGCACTGCAAGGGCAGGATAATCCTCTTACATCTAAATATAATATAGTAGGTGCCGTCTTATCCAGTGGTAAATGCTGCAGTACAATAAGTGATGTAATTTTCGTAATCCAGCAGATTGTTTCAAATATATATAATTTGCCTATGATTTACTTGTATTGTTAACATGTTGTGTGAAAGCATTAACAGTCAACACTACAATATTGATATTGAGGTATATGGTCAGAGAGATTGGGATGTGCTCCCAGGTGAAATCTTACTGTGAAGATCCTGAGACCGGTGCGATCGAAGGCGATACAGTACACTGCAGACAGATGGCCCAGGATCCGCCGGTGCAGCCGCATGCGCTCATAGTTGCTGACGGGGTTGATGGAGCTGAAGCGCTGCACTCCTGTCAGCTCTCTGCCTCGATGGATCTCCACTGCAGGTGACAAGATGCCAACCATCAGAATACAGTAATACAATTAAATGGCTGCGACAAGGAGAGGCATTAAAAAAAGCCAAGCAGTTCCAAGTAAATGTTCCAATTCCCATTGATCCATTTCATTTAAGAATAATAGAGAAATATTGAGGAAGGTCGGACTTACCGAGGTGTGGAGGTTTTTTGCAGTTGAAAGGCCTCTCTGGTGGTCTGCCCCGGTGAAGGGCTGCATATGATGAAGCTTTGAACCGCACACTGTCGCAGTCTGAGAAACACAAAACAGATCAGAATGATTCAGTGGATCTACCAGCTGTGTGTGGGAGAGGATATGATCATTTCTGCCATCTGCACAAGCCAAGAAACTATTCATATCTTTATATAATGTCAATGTGAATATTATCAGTGTAAAAGGAAGGCTTGGGGAGAAACGGATTACATGTTACACATGATTACGTAATCAGGAAAAGGGTAACCGTATGCCGTACAGTTACATGAAAATAATCAGATTACTGTTACATTTCTAAAAATGGTGGATTATTAGCAACATGTTAGTAAAAACCTGAAAAGAGCATATTGCGTTTGTTGTAAAAGGATCAGATCTTATTTCTGCTTTTTCAAACTGTAGTATGTGCTCATGTGTTCATTGTTGGTGTATAGGCTACTGCCTGAATATGCTTAATGAAAGGCAGATTTTCCTATAAATAAAATCATTTTTGATCCTAAATATCTTGGTTTCTTCTTTTATAAGGTTCTGTTGTCTAACATAATACACTTAGGTAATCAGATAATATTTTTGTATTGTGATACTCAGATTAGGTTACTGATGACATTTTCTTTTTGTAGAGGTAACTAGTAATTGTAACTGAAATCATTGTTGAAGTAACCCTCCCAACCCTGGTAAGATGCATGTAGAAGCTCAGTAACATCCACACTATAGTTTCCATTAAGACTGTTTACCTTTTGCCGTCCTGAGCATTGACTGCTTCCCGGACCCCAGGAGGGAGTGAACTCCTGGGACACATGATGGCACATCTTTGTCAAGAATTGGTCCGATCTGCTTGCATATTTGTAGCAAATGGTTTGGTGCAATATGTCTGTTTGCTGCAACCTGTCAGGGCAAACAAAGACAGAATAGTGACGTGAATAATCACTGCTTAAAGAATTGGTCAAATCAACCTCAGTTTAGATAATAGAGTATGAAATGTAAACGCCAGACAACGTTCTTCAATTTAAGGATTTGCTGCTCTCTTGTAAATCAGAAAAGTTAAGTAGGTTTACACAGACAATGAATTTGTGTTAGTGCAAAATGTTGCTTACATAAATACAGTAAGAAAAATTAAGCGGTAAAGAAGGAGCAAAAATAGAACTATTATATAATTTAAAATAAGGAGAAAATATTTACAGTAAATATACATTTAATTTTTTTTTAAAGAAATAAAGATATGACAAATTACTCTGAATATTACATGTCCAGTATGTCAGGGTTTAGAGTTCAGAGTTGTGTTGTATTTAGTGTCAAATTAAACATATTTAAATGTTTTCTGATATTTTTTAAATAATTAATCAAGACATGAAATTCGTTTTAAACTGCCCCTTAATCGGGTTTTAAAGGATATAATGAAAAACAGAGGTATTGTCAAGTAATTGAAAGTTTTCCTCATACAAATAGCAAGCATAAAACACATTTGTTGGTGGATTCTTGGTCTGAGAGTATATATAAAAGGTGAATTTGAATGCATTTGTGATAAAGTGTTGTAAATAATATGGCTGCTCTAAGAACGTTGTCGACTTGAAATGTAGAAATGTCTGACTGACAGCCGTAGTTGGTGGTTTCATGTGCTTCTCCACTCATATTCTGAGAGGCGGGGCTTATTATGCAGAACCTTCTCCTTTTATAGACCAATCACAGCGCAGGTCACATGCAAAACAACGCAGAGACAGTGCATCTCGGCCTCTGATTGGCCAGTTGAGCCGCCTCGGCGTAGCAAAGAAGCCGAACAACCAACCCTTTCTGCAGTACAACAGTCGGGGCTAAATATCATAAAACCATCTATCAAAATACAGTTTTCGGAGCCAAAATGCCGTTCAATCCAACAAATTAAGTCAGCGGGAACGACTTGTGACCTTGTCAATCATTCCGACTCGAGAAAATCCCACAGTAGTTAAGCAGGAAATAGAACAAAGAGCGTAAACAAGCACAGCGCATGGACACAGAGCCCTGTCACAACACAATAACAAAGAAATAAAAACAGATATTAAGTTAAAACTCACCACGTCTTCGTATGTTCTCGGGTGCTCGTTTCCAAGCCAGTCCAATCTACCGGGTAATAGCTGTCGAAAACAGAGTTTGTTAAAGCGACCACGAACACCAGCAGCTACACATTATGATAGTACAAAAAGAGCCGGTGATCAAAGTGATGGAGAGGTATTACAAAAAAAAAAGTGGGACAAGTTTGAGGTCCAGAATCAGTCAGAAGCAGAGGTGGGAAAAGTACAGAGATCTTGTACTAAAGTAAGAGTAGCAGCACCACAGTATAGCAATACAAGTAAAAGTCCTGAATTCAAAATGGTATTCAAGTAAAGTATAAGGTATTGGCATTCAAATATAAGTACTAATTATGCAGATTGCCCCATTTTCAGAATAATATAGATCATGTGTGTTGATTATAATTATTAATGCATTAAAGGTCTATCAAAGCTGCTAAAGGTGCAGCTAGTTTGAATTACTTTGTATACTGCAGGGTAGCTTGTGTAGGTGTAACTAAAGTCTTATTTAAGTGTTGATTATATTTCACATAATTAATCAAAATGTGCAAAGTAACTAAAGGTTTAAGTAAATGTACACCATTCACCTCTGAAGTGTAATGGGGTAGAAGTACAAAGCAGCAAAAAATGTAAATACTCATGTACAAGTACCTCAAAATTGTATTTAAGCACAGTACTTGAGTAAATATACTTAGTTAATTTACACCACTGTTCAGCACCGACAGACAGCAGCTAGCAGATAACAAGCAGCCTCTGCAGCAGGGACATACACACCTGATGTTCCTCCAGTTCACTCGCCAGGACCTGCAAGGGATCAAAACACACATTAGATTGCCTCTATTACAAAACTAGCTAAGGCAACTATTTTGGAAATACTACACACACTATTCTAGTCAAAGCACAGCAGCTCACCTCAGCTGCTCTCCGACATGGACCCGTTGTTAGGAAACGAGAAATCAGGTAATAGAGCTCTGAAATGAAACAGATTAGAGAAAATAAATGATATCAATTAGCAGGAGCGTTCACGTTGTAAATTAAGCTATCATTGGGTTTACTTTTTGCGGCTTACCCGACTCAAGGAGCGAAATGTTCCGATGTTTGGCCATTGTGATTCGGCCGTGATTTGGAGAGGTGAAACAAATGTTAAGGCTAACTTTAGGACTACACAGACGAGGATATATTTATTTAATTTCGGTTACACAGCTCTGACCCCCCTCCACGGTTGCTCCCGCTTTCTATTCAGCCTGTTTGCAGTCGCCATTGGAAGGATGAGGGCCCCAGCGCGATACGACTTACTTCCGCCACAGCGGAGTAACACCAAGCCGCCAGGAAGTGAGCCGGCCGTTGAAGCCGAGTTTTGGAACGCTCGTAGTGGTCAAACGGTGGCACTACAGCTCCAGTGACGTAATTTAGGCCCATAAAGACTTTTCCGCATTGACTTACATTGGAAAAGAGACGTCGGTAAATCAGCGCATAATTTTTTTTTAGATATATAATCTACCCAGTACGTACACTTGTATAGCCTTTATTTAAATCATTAGGTTGTAAAAGTTGTAAAAAGAGCTGAAAGCTGAATCCACCACCAATCTCCCCACCATTCATTTGGCTGAGCCGAGAGCGGCAGATCGGAGGCGGGGCTTAAGGGGAACTCAAGTGCGCATGCTCAGTGCGGATGATCCGGGTACTTTCTGAATCTACAGTCGCTCTATTCTGGGCTTCATGCGCCACTGAGCGGCTATCGTATGAATGAACGGATCTCCGCTTCCGGCGCTGTATCCAGTTCTCTTTATACATCCATGAGTAGCACAGGAAAAAGGGGGTTGGGAAGCGAAGAACACTTTCTACAAAAGACTAAAGTGTGCGTTAGCTCGTCCGTTAGCAACATCGGTACTATTTTATGTGAGTCACGTATTGTCTCGAAATCCAAATCCACGTGTTAAAAAAAATAACATATTAAAGAAATAACAACAAATATATATTACAAACGGCCGCCCACTTGTTTTTTCTCACCGAGCTCGTGAATTCTGTACATGACGTCATAGTAACGGTTGCCAATTTGCTCTTGACGATATATTTGCATCATATAAATGATCAAACCAGCTCTTTTTTTATTGTAAAAAAATATATATCTCAAAACGTCATGTTTGGGGGAGAGACTACACGTGAATAAGTACAAATGTATTGTAGTACAAGTCTGAAATACTGTATTATGTATACAATTACAAATGAGGCATCTTCTTTAAGAAATTATAAGTAGCTTACACTACCGGGATAGAAGCCAGGTATAACAATGTTAATATTCTTACATTTTGTTTTATTTTGTTGACTTGTTAGAGTCAAATGTTTTTGTTTTTTTTACCTAGGTTAATTTGATATCTCTTGGTATCCCTCCATAAATCTGCACTAATGTCAACAGTTGTAGACCGTATGATCAAAAGCCGTAACAAAAACAAGTTTCCCCCCACGTTCTTAGGAATACAAGTTGTATATGCTAAACCTGGCTATGAATGATGTATAATAAAACCCCTTTGTAAAGACCTTGAGAAATCAGGAATATAATTTATAAATAGTGAATAATTTAAAAAATATATAAATAGTGAATACAATATAATTATCTACTTAGTCTGCTACTTACATTAAGACTTTTCTTTTTTTAAGTTGTATGAAATGTTATGTTTAAATATGTAAATGAGGCACCATAGTGCTGACTTTTGGGGAATTTAGTGGACGCAAATGTATAAAGAGTAGCAATTAAAACCAACACCTTAATGTGTATTTTGGATCTTTTAGCTCCACAAGTATTAAATAACGCATGATATAAAAATGAAATAGGCTACACAAAACTCTGAAAAGGAATATTAATAAACAATGCCAAGTACAGGTAGTCATATATCATACTGTACGTAGTTGTTTTGGTATCTATATTTTATGTAGATATCTCTCTACATTTTAATGTTATGAATTAAAAAAAAAAAGTTTTGTGTTTATGTATGCACCATGTACAACAAGGCAAATTCCTCATATGTGTGAATTTACTTGGCAACAAACCATTTTCTAATTAAGACTTCTACTTTTTACACTGTGGTATTGCTATTTTTACGTCAAAATACTTCTTCCATCTATGGTTCTCTGTATGTTTTATCTTTGTAATCATATATCATGTATTAGAGATATCCTGAAGGATATGACATACATTCCCAAGCTAGGTCAACATGGCAGAGCCTTATGGCCCGAAGGCTCTAGATTCACCTCGTGTCATGTTGCCCTTGGGTAATTTGATTACATGCACATTTGTTTGGGAATTTGCCCCATAAACTTAAGGAAAATACTGACTGGTTTACTGCATTAACTCATGATCCTTTTTAGAGAGGGGACCTGTGTCACTGACTCCTGTTAAGTCAAGTACATTTTTAAGGGGCCCTATTAAGCTCTTTGTGGTTATCCTTTTCATGTAGTGTGTTCTATAGGTTTTGATGCATGTAAATGGTCCACAAAGGCTAAAATCCCAATGTTCCCTCCAGAATAAATTAGCTCTTGATTGATACATAAACTTTAGTTTGTAGTCTTCACATCAGAGGTGCACAAAGTACTCATCCTTTTCTTGAGTATAATTAGAGGGTCTGAATACTCAATTACAAGTGAAAAGTCCTGAATGCACAATGCTACTTTAGAAGTACATAGCTGCTATATATACACACTTACAGTATAAATATAAAGTACTCAATATGCAGAATGACTGAATATTATATTTTAGATTTGTCATTGAACATAGTACAATAATGCAGTGTAGATAGTGCAGCTGCAGTATATTCAGAGTTGCATGATGCTGTATTGACATATGGGTTAAATAGTTTGTACTTTCACTTTAAGTACATGTTGTCAGAATGTATGACTTTTACTTAAGTTTACTTATGAATTTCAACAGTAAATTAGTTAAATAAAATCTATATGAATGTATAAGATGTGAATATTCACAATTTTGGTAATGACCAAATCTGTCAGTTTATCATTGAGTATTGGTCTCAAATATACTTCTCCCTGGTGGTGAATTCAAAAAGTAATTTTAGGTTAGACATGGTGAACATCTGAAACAGGCAACAATCACCGATCATATGATGTAATCCAACATACAAAATAGTTGAAACAGTTTACAGGAATTCCCACTTTATTTGGCATTTCATACCATTCATAACAAAGAAAATGTATTTTTGTTTTTTTAATTTTTTTTAAAAAACGAGGAAACTGTACATTGGTAGATAAATCCCAAAAAAAACACAAAGAATATATCCACTGAGAGGTGGTGAATATATCTTGTTGACTGAGGTGTGAATACAGTAATCCTAACCGGATGAACTAAAACACGCACGATTAGCTTTGTAATGCTTCTTGAATTGAGCACAGCGGAGAGCATGGATGTGTCCAACCATCCTCACATGTACCTTCTCTGACAGCATTTGAAAAAATAAAAATCCAGTACTAGTGAACATGATTAAAGTGAATATTATGAACAAGACTGACTTAGCACAACTCTTCAATCATACCAACACTTGATGATGTATTAAATCCAAAAACAGTACAGGTTACAAAAATCCCTCAAAGCGCCTCGGGAATGTCTCAGGTAAACTCTCCCGGAGCCGAACATCAAATTCCTGATATAGGCACGAATTCGTGTCATGCAGGAAAACTACAAACCTAACAAAAAGGCAAAGTAAGAAGCCAGAGAGTACAAACAATGGAACGAAAAATAAAATAAAACGACTGAGAAGAAACTGAATGAAATTTGTAGTTGTTTCTTTAAAAATGCATTTCTGCAATCACGTGCCTAAAAACATTACTGTCTTATGAAAATAGTAGATAAAAATAGTCTCTGCATTGTACAAGAAACGAGGTACAGGGGGGCTCTGGCAAGTTAGTCTAGGTGTGTCACGGCTACTCGGCGTCTTTGTCTTCCTCCTCGGCTTCCTCAGCTTTGTCGTCCTTCTCCTCTGCCTCATCTGCTTCGTCCGCTTCCTCTGCGTCTTCTGCTGCAGCGGGCTGGAGGATGGAGAAGAAAAACATGCATTATTATCGAGTTTCTTTGAATGTTGCTTATATTTCCCAATTTCACAAGTCTGTCATACCTTCTCAGCTTTGGCCTCTCCGTTTTCTGCAGGAGTGGCCTCTTCCTCCTCCTCCTCCTCCTCCTCTTCTTCTTCTTCCTCCTTCTTCTTCTTCTCCTCTGGCTTGGCCTTTACTGGTTTGGCCGCCTTTTTGTTCTTGGGAGGTGCCTACCATGACAAAAAACAATCAAGGAACATGAAATGAATGCAATAGAGAATCGGTGCATTTTTAATGGAGACAGTGCTTTTTGATTTGTCTCGTAATTACCTTCTTTTCTGGCTTTTCTGCCTTCTCTGGTTTCTCTTCTGGTGTATCCTTCACCGACAACCGTTGAGACTTTCTCAGTGGCTGCTAAAATATAAAAAAGGCAAAAAACAAGATGTTATTTGGTAATTCGAAAGTAATTGATACACATAATGCCACAAATAAATGTAACCCATTAGAAAAATGCTATGAGCCCTAACGGAGTAATAAGTGCCTTTTCCATTCTTTGTGAGAGTGAAAAAGTATATATTAAACATGCACATTTTAAGCTAATCAAAATATTGTTATATGCAAATAAGCTTCAATAAAACTCACAATGAACTGCTTCTGCAAACACCCTATTACTTGCTAAATATTTTTAAAATAAACGTTGATAATAGGCACTCAACGGGGAACTCTATTGATTACCAAATTCAGATGTTGAAGACCGCAAACGCTAATTTTACTTAATTTAAATGGCCAAATGTGAGGCATAGTGCAATTTGAAGCAAAATATAGTTGTGAAATGGCCCAAACATACATTTCAGTCCAGAAAGAATATGCTACGACATCCCTTATAGTATAAAATATAACTTTTTTTTTTTTAAACAGGGAAATTCAAATTACCAAAGAAGAAACACGATTTGGGGTGAATGTTAAACAGCACCCCCTTGTGGCTGATCAATGCAATGGGCAGAGCAGGATTGGATCATATCAACATTTTAGCCATTTAATTCAATATTTCATCCCTAGAAGATTTGTTTTTTACTGGCAGTAGTATAACTGGGATGCACTAAATGATGTTCAAAGTCAGTCTGAACCAATAGACATTTTCTTTGTCTTGATCAAAAATAGAACAAAATGTTCATTTCAGTTAAAGTTGGGGTGTCGAGGACAGTATGGTGCAATAAATGGGTAAACACGTGCATACTAACCTCTGTGGCTGCTTCTGCGGATTTCTGTGGAGGGAAGAGGGAGAAATAAATTAAAAAATGCAAAAGAAACAAGAGCCATTCATGACTGAGCTAAAGTGGGTGTGTAGCGCAAAGAGGGGGATGGGCAACTCTCCCTCCCCTCAAGTCACAAAGAAATTATGCAACGTAGAAGTGGGGAAGTTTCTGAGTTAAAGAGGTTCATCCAGTTCTAGTTTCTTCCCGCCGAACACTGTTGTTT